GGNGGGGAACGGGGCGTGTGTTGACAAGTGCGCGTGGGGAGGCGAAGCGAGCTCTCGTTTTTTTTTCATTACATATCGGCCGTTGAGCCGTGATGGGAGGGTGGTGTAGGAGGTACATTGCGGCCACCTGCTGTGTATATAATGGGACTCCTCGACCGTTCTCGTTCTTCACGACAAGCTCACAAACATTGCAGTGTTGGCCTGCTCGAATGCTCCTTTTCCCTCTGTGAATCAAACCCCCTGTCCTCCTTTGCTGGCGGCTACTTGGACATACCTGCCTACCTACCTACCCTACCTACCCTACCTACCCTACCTACCTACCTACCTACCTACCTACCTATTACCCACCCTCGGGCCTCAAACACAACAAGCAAAAATGGCAACCGACTATTACTTTCACAACAGCCAGAGGTATATCCACCCCCCCAATAGCCCCCGAACGCTGTTCCTTCCCGTGGCGGGGGCCGGCCGGCCCACGCTCGGCAAAACGCAGACTGACATGGAGCAACGAACTCCCCCCCTCTAACCAGGCACAGCCAAGCCGCGGCCTCGGCGCGCATGCCGGCCAGACAGAGCCCGGCGGCGGCGGCGGCGGCGCACCCTCAGCACCCACGCTCGCACCAGGACGCGCAGGACGAGGTGTGGAGGGGCATGGTGGCGGTGGACCCGATGGCGCGGGAGATCGAGGGCCTGTCGGCCGCGTCGTCCTCGACTTCGTCGTCTTCATCTTCGTCGTCGTCGTCGTCGTCGTCGTCGTCGTCGACCTCCTCGCCCAGGAGGTGAGGGCCGGAGAGTGGATGAGGTTGTAAGAAGTTTTACGGATGTATTTCTACTGTGGGACTATGGAGAGGAGTAGTGTGTATCATTTAGCTTCTTTTGTACATTGTCATGCTTTCCTAGCACCTCACCGTGTATCTCTATTCGTTCATGTGCTATTGGGGCAGCTGGTAGAGAATGTTGCATATGCAGTCTTCACAGTAATAGTAGGGCTCCAGACCGACTTGGCCTGCCTATAGTTCCAGGTATCATAGGGGTATCTGTCTGCATTAGTCTAACAGTTACTAGGAATAGGAGAGAGAGAGAGAGAGAGTATGAAAAAAAGCAAGGCCAGACGCTAGCGTGCCTCCCCCCGAGTACAATTACAAGTATAAACCCATGTGGTCCCATAACCGTTCCAGCCGTCATGCCGTCCCAGGATTGCTCCAGTGTGGCCAAACAATAAAACAGAACGCTGTTTGGTTTAGTCGTCCAGCCCATTGTAAAGGAAGAGTCATGTCTACGCCGAGTCCCCCTGTCTTGATAAACGCCTTGCCGCCGCTGTATAAAGAGAAAAAGAAGAGGAAAAGAAAGAGCCAGAAACAAATCGTGAAAGTGCCTCGGGATGACTCCCAATACCGCTCGTCTCTATCGGTTGCCGAGCCGCGAGGGGTTGTTCCGCATCGCCCGGTCCCACTCGTTCTCCTCGGGCTCGCTGGAGGCCGAGGCCGCGGCCGAAATGGCCTGGTCGGCGCGCTCGATGTCGGCAATGTCCTCCTCGACGACCTGGACCTCGACCGTCTTAATGATGCCCTTTGGCCACGCGTCGGCGGCGGCGGCGGCGGCGGCGCTCCTGGCGCTCCGGCTGCTCTGCCGGCTGTCGGACCGGGTCAGGAGGCCGCCAAGCGACTTTGAGGCCGTCGCGGCGGCGGCAGGCCGCGCCGGCGACGAGGAGAGCTCGTAGCTCTCCCGCTGGGGGCCCTCGATGAGGAGCGTGACGGTCGAGGGCGAGTCCTTGAGCTGCGCGAAGCGGCCCGCGGGCCCCGGGCGGCCGCTGGCGTTGGTGGTGCCGGTCCCGCTGCGCTTGCGGGGCCAGTAGCTGCGGCTGCTCCCGGCGCTGGTGCTGCCCGAGTTGGACCGCTTGGAGAAGAGGCTGCCGGGGCCGCGGCCGCGGCCGGCCGGGCACAGGCGGGACAGCAGGGGGCCCAGGGGCAGCACGTTGGCGGCCACGATGGCGATGTTCTGCTCCATGATGGCGAGGAGGGTCGAGACGAAGTGCGCGTAGGTGAAGACGCCCGACTGTCTGGGGACTTGCGAATATTCGTAGGTTTGGGATGTAGCAAATGCTCCGGCGCTGTGCCAAACAAGGGGCCAAGGTCAGTCTTTGGGTACATGTTCCCATTATTTCCTGGGGAGGGACAGGATGGGAGATTGGCTTACACAAGACTCAGGCCAGAGAGGATGTAGAAAAGCAGGCGCATGGCCTGGTCGGACTCCAGATCTCGGATCAGCAGGACTGGGAACAGCGACATGAAGAGCCACGAAAAGACGGAAAAAGCTGGAAGCGGAAATCGGTTGGTAAGTTCATCCGTTACTTGGCGGCGCCCCATTCCGAGTCTGACACGTACCTCCCCTAAAGTAATCCAGGCCTAGTTGGACGCTCGGGTCCCAACACTCGCCGTTGGCGTTCATGTTCCAGAGCTTCTCGAGCGGTCGGCACTGGAGGTTCGAGGTCAGGGCGAAGGCGAAGTTGAAGACGACCAGCATGACCACCAGCGTCATGAGAAGGACGCGCCACAGCTTGACGCCGCCCGTGATGCGGATGAAGAAGAGGCAGATGGAGACCTTGGCCAGGGTGGCGCCAAGGAAGAACCAGGGCTGGCCCAGCACGTCGTACTCGAGCGCCAGCACCGACTCTGTCATGCTGGTACCTTCCAAGATGCTGAGGACTGTTCCGATGAAGGCGATGATCTGTTAGTTTCCAGGCGTTAGCGCGTCATTTCGTTTTGATGATCGATTCAGAGGGTTTAGATAGAAGAAAATAAAAGAAAACCCACACTGGCCACGCCAACAACATAGTCGTCTGATCCCATGTCTTCGCTAGGTGCTGCGCGAGCGACGAATCGCAGGGCCGTCGATGAGAGGGCGATCAAGGCCGTAGTGATGGAGACGCCGAGAAGGGCCGGCCCTCTTGTCAAGTCTTGGACGGCGGCCATGGTGAGGTGAGTTTGCAGCGGGGGTTATCGCTACAACAAGCTGACCCGGCGAGGGCTGGGCTGTGCGAGCAAGTAGGAAAGACCTATGGTTTCGCTTGCGTCCATCCCATCAAGCAGAATCCCGTTCGAAAGAGGCTTTCTTTGCCAAAAAAGAAGAAAAGAATGGACAAGAACTTGACGGGGGGTGTAGCGATGGCGCACAGTGGAATTATCATCTGCGAGGTTTGCTGGTCCGAGTCGCAAAGGGCGCAAAGCCACACGGATGAGGGAAGGAAGTAAACGGGGAGATCGGACGTTAATGCTGGATCTGGCAAGGAGTTAAGGATCAAAGATTCGGACAAGGGGCCTGCTTTTGGACAGCCACTCTAGGTAATATAGCAATGTCAGAGCCGATATATGAGGGGCAGCCGCCAGATTCCGCACGTCGACGCTGTGGGGTGTGGACAACGCAAGAGAGGGGGGGGGGGGGGGGAGGGGGGGACACGAGGCGCGCGCGCGCGACGGCGGG